AGAGGAATGGAGAAGCGCAGCCACCTCTTGTTCAGTAGCTGGGGAGAAAGTCTGAAGGTTAGGGAAGGCATTATTTATTTGTGGTTAAGAAAGAGAATGGCAAGGAGGGGAGAATTGTTTCCTTATGATCCGTATCATTCAAATTTATACCCTTAATTTGAAATTAGCTCTAATATTAGCCACCAACGGCTCCAGAGTCAAGATGTACAGCAAAGGGGCAATGGACAGCCCTATCTGGTACCATTTTGAACTCTAAACCATTTGGCTGAAATGCCTGGGCCTACTGTTTTAGTCATCGGTTTGTCATATAGAGCCATTATCGCCGACCTTATTGGAAATTAGCCATAAATTCCCAGCTGCCCCTGCCAAACACCTTATCGGTGTCTAGAGACAGGGCCAGAACTGTCCTGTTCAAATAGTCAGACCCAGCAGTCGTCGTGTATTGTTATTTGAGGAATGTCCCTGTATGAAACCAATTTGATATTGGTGCACTAGTAATGGAATTAGAGATTTAAATCTATTAGCTATTACAGAAGAGTAGATTTTAATATCGGAATTGATCAATAATATTGGTCTATAATTTGCAGTAGAGGTAGGATCCTTTCCCACTTTTAAAATTGGAGAGATAGAGGCTCGTAGCAGCTCTTTTGGCATTATTCCCTTCGTTCTAATTTCATTGAAAATATTGACCAGATGTGGGACTAAATCATCTTTACATTTTTTATAAAAAAGAATGGGGAAGTCCTGGGGCTTTATGCATTTTAAGATTATTAATTATATCCACTATTTCTTTTTCTGAAAAAGGTTAAGTTTAAGACCATTATTTGTTCATCTGTTAGTCTAGGCAGAGCTATTCCTGCTAGATATCTATCAATATCTTCTTCTAGTGGGCATGATGAAAGGTTATACAAGGTAATAATTATTAAAGCCTCACCAATGTATTTAGGATTAACAAGACTCCTTCCATTAACTTCTGTTTTTTTAATTTTTTTTCCTAGCCCTTTGATTTTCATTTTTTCATTGCGTATATTGATTTTTTCTCAATTTAAAATTAATTTGTTCTTGTATTTTTAACATTTCTGAATAAATTGGATTTGATGGATGTTTGTTTTCATTAGAAAGATTTCAAGTTATTAATGAATCGGCCATGCTTTTGCCTTGTTTTTTTTATGTTCTTGATCTAGCTTTATTAAATGACCTCTAATAACAGCCTTAAAAGCACAACAATTATTAGCGATAGATGTATCTTGTGGATTATTTTCTTTAAAGTATAGATTAATTCAATTTGAAATATAGTCTTTATTTTCTTTTGAATTTAAAAAATATTAATTTAATCTCCTTTATGTCTAAATGCGTCTTTTAATTCAAGCATAAGTATATTGTGATCTGACCATGTGTTATTTAAAATATTTATTTTAGAGATTCCATTAAATAAAAATTGATTTCCACAAATTAAATAAATCCTAGAGTATGACATATGTACTCTGGAGAGATTAGTAAAATCTTTTTCTCCAGGATAAAACATTCTCCAGGTATCATGTAAATCAAATTTATTCAGCGTATTGGTCATTATAGTCATTATAGGTTTTATAAATTTCTTATCTAAATCTGCATCCAAGATGCAATTAAAATCTCCTGCTACTATAAGCAGACCTTTTTCAACCTTATTAGCCATATCCAATATTTTCTTCAGGAGATATATTTAGAAGATACACATTTATTAATGTATATACTTATTCATTAATTTTGCAAACAATTATCATATATTGTCCCATATGATCTAAAATCTGATGAATGAATTCAAACTATATTGATTTTGCCACTACAAAAGCTACCTCTCTTTGTTTTTTTATCCTTGTTAGAAGCATGCATTATAATGAGGGAAGTCTTTACTTTAAAAAAAAAAAAAAAATCTTCCATTCTCTAATGTGTCTCCTGTAGAAAAGAAACATCCACATACTCTTTTATTGAGAATTGAGAACTTGTAATTTCACTGAAATTATTTTAACCATGTTTTTGCTTCGTTTTTTCCCTTTCCCTCTGCAGTTTACTACGTGTCATATGTTTAGTTTCTACATTTATTAACATAATAAGGATAAACAAGGATAAAGACCTATATACATTTAAACATATTAAAACCTTCTGTTTTGAGAAAGAAAATATGTATATTCGCTCTTCAAAAAAGAAAAAAAAAATGCATCTCTTGTCTTGAGCAAAAAGCTCCGCCTTTTATTTAAGGCGTAAGGAAGAGTGTGGAGCCACCGTATATAATAATAAAAAAAATCCACGCATTTATATGCATATATACACAGTGGCGTACTAAGGGGGAGGCGGGGGGGGCGGTCCGCCCCGGGTGCCAGCAGGGTGGGGGGTGCCATGACCAGCCCCGCCGGCCCCCCCCATGCTGCAGCCGCCTGAGCGCTCTGTAGAGAGCCTCAGGTGGCTGCAGCTTTGCCTGGGCGGTGCGTCCATGAGGGCGGACCGCCCGGGCGCAGCCTGAGGAGAGGGGCTGACAGGAGGGAAACGCTCAGCGCTCAGCGCTCCCTCCTGTCAGCTTCCTTTGCTGTAGCATGGCCGAGCCCAGTATAGTCGGCAGGTACAGGGAGCAGCTGTCTACTGTACCCTGCTGGACTAACAGGAAGTGCACACAGTGTGTGCACTTCTTGTTAGTCCGGCCGGGTACAGGAAACAAAAGCTCCCTGTACCTGCCGACTATACTGGGCTCGGCCACGCTACAGCAAAGGTAGGAGGGGGGAGAAAGGGGAGGAGAAAGAGTGAGAGAAAGGGGGTGAGAAAAAGTGGAATGAGAAAGGGGGGGTGAGAGCAAGGAGGGGTGAGAAAAGGAGGGGGGGGTGAGAGAGAAATTAGAGGGGGTGGCATACTATAAAAAGTGCTTAAATTATGGGGGTGTATTAATTATGGGGGTGTATCACCTATGGGGGTGTATATTAATTATGGGGAGTATTAATTATGGGGGGTGTGTATATTAATTATGGGGGTGTATTAATTATGGGGAGTATTACTATGGGGTGGTATATTAATTATGTAGGGGGTGAATTAATATGGGGGTGTATGACTATAGGTGGATTAATTATGGGGTGGATTAATTATAGGGGTGGATTAATTATGGGGGGGTGGATTAATTAAGGCGGAGTGGATTAATTATGGGGGGTGTATTAATTATGGGGGGTGGATTAATTAAGGGGGGAATTAATTATGGGTAGTGGATTAATTAAGGGGGGGTGGATTAATTATGGGGGTGTATTAATTAAGTGGGGTGTATTAATTGAGGGGGGATGGATTAATTATGGGGGTGGATTAATTAGTGTGGATTAATTATGAGGGGGTGGATTAATTAGTGTGGATTAATTAAGGGTGTGTGTATCAATTAAGGGGGTGGATTAATTAAGGGTGTGTGGATGAATTAGTGTGGATTAATTAAGGGGTATGGATTAATTAAGGGGTATGGTTTAATTAAGGAGTGTGGATTCATTAAAGAAAACCTTTAACATTTTTTACAGGTTTTTTTTTTTTAAAGGCATTGTGATCCGCCCCGGGTGCCAAATGCTCTAGGTACGATCCTGTATATGTACAGTCTTGAGCAATTTTCATTTATAAACAAATATATTTGTATACTTTTTGCTTTTAATCTCCTTTAAAGAGGGGAGGAAAGTTGATCCACAAATTATAGAAATATTCATTTGTCTTTTTTCTTCATTTGGTATTTAATCTCACTTTCCCTTTTCTTCCCTTGTTTCTCTCCTTTTTCTCTCTATTTTTTTATTTCAGCTCCTTTATTGTTTTATTTCTCTACTTTAATCTTCTATCTCATACCCTATATAATCAAATATGAGATATAAGAAATAACCAAACATATTTAAAGAAGGAGAAAGAGAAGGAGAAAAAAAATGTTGAGTGTATATAATGTGTATTATGTTAATAAAATGAGGTTGAAGTGTATTGCTTATGCAATTCTGTGGTATGATGTGCATGTAGTGTAATATGGTGATTGTTCTGATTGTGTAATATGTCAAGTAGGAGATGTTGTGTAGTGATGATAGTAGAGAAAAAGAAGAAAAAATATATATAACTATTATAAAATTATAATAATAAATAGAATAAAACCTATAGTGTTGAGGTCTAATAAATTGGAAAAATGTTTTGAAATAGTGTAAAAGATGATGATGTGATGATAGTGTAGGGATGTGTGATGTGGAAAGTGAAGTGGATTGTGTATGAGATTATAAATTATGTTATTATAATTAAGACACCTCTAGTGTCTTTAAGCCAAACCGCCATTTAGTAGACCTTCCCCGGCTGCAGTACAGTCTCCGTTCGCTTAATCTGTAACACACAAACCAAATGCAGGGGAAGCGGCAATCTCCTGATCGAGATCCGTGAACGGCTCCAAACTCCCGAACGGCAATACACGAACTGCTGGTAACCGTCGAACAGCAATATTCCCCAAGCGGCTTTCGTTCCATCCAGCAGTCTCTAAACGTGAAGAAGAAATCCCCCCAATAACGAGACAGAAGCTCCGCATTGAGGGTCAAACAGATCTGGCTTTACTGTGGGCTACCTGCCCGTATTTATGCAGGTCTCCCACCTGGTGGACACTCCCCTAGGGGACCAAATGGGAGACTTAAATTACAGACAGATATGGGGACATTCCAGACACACAGTCACAGATTTTACCCACAGTGCATTATGATTCCCTCCCCTCTGCCCTGGAGTTAATTACCAAGTAACTCAATTAACTCCAGGACAAAGCCAGTCGCCATCTTAGACATAAAATAATAAAAGACATAAAAATATATAACTACATAAAAACCGAACATTTCTCATTCGTATTACATGTCCCCAGATAGCCTGGATCTGAGTGCATATTATTAGTGAATAGCGCTCAGATCCCACACACATAGTTCAATCACCATGGAGTCAAAGTTCTTACAGTCTTTTGGTATACGAATGACTCCATGGGAAGGCTATCTGGGTTAAGTCTTTTCGTATGCTCTCAAACTCCCGAACGGCCGGTGTTCGCATGCTTTCATGGAGGCAGCCAGGCGTTCCGTTGTTTCAGCGGTGTTCGGCAGAAAAAGTGTCCGTTTTCAGTTCCATAGAAATAGAGCCAAACACCGCTGGGCGTTCGCTTGATTTAAAATGGCCGCTGCCTCGTGGTCGACATACGAACGACGACCACCCTGAATTCGGTTTAATTGAGAAGTGTCTGCGGTTAACCACAACGTTCTAATTGGGATCACTTCGTTAACCAGCAGCACACTCCTCACTTGGGTGGCCGTTCGTTCGGCAGGTTTGTTCGGGAAAAAGAGTCATTCGAATGGCTGGGCTATAGAAACCAGCCATTCATACGAACGGGGGACAAACAGACGAATGCAGTAAAAATCCAAGCAGACAGATGGTTCTGTCACAATAATCATATGGAAGATTAGTGAAATATGAAAATATTGTATGTATAAAAAAATTATATTGGTTTAACCGTATAGTAATATTACGACGTCTCTTAAGCCTAACTCTCCTTGTTTATCAAGTTTCGTCCCTGTTGTGTTTTTCTAGCTAAACTATTCTTATTATATTTTCAGATATTGTAGAATTGTCTCTATATTAGACATATGAAATGTGGAAAATTAAAAAAAAATATATAAATGTGTATAAATATTTATTTTCTTTTTTTTCTCTGTTATTCTGCCTTCTTCTTGATTGTTATTTTTCTTCATATCTTTATATCTCCCGGTTCGCAGACAAAATTCAAATTCAGATGATCTTCTTTTTATTTATCCATTTTTTAGCTTATCAGCCTGTTTAAATTCTTGAATGGAGACTTTCCAAAAAAATCTCATTTTGTTAGGATATCCCCATCTGTATTTGAGATTGTGTTTTTTGAGAACTAATAAAGATGCCTTAAAGTCCTTTCTCCAAGTTCTTGTTCCAGTTGATAGGTCTTGATAGAGTTTGATATCTTTATAAGTTTCATCTGGCTGATTAAATTGTTTGAATAGTTTTAGAATACTTTCTTTAAAACTATAGGAATGCAATTGGACTATTACATCTCTCAAAATATTTGAATCAAGGTACTTTGGTTTATTTAAATGATGGAATCTTTCTAGAACAGTGTTGTGGTCTTGAATTGTTGTTTCAAATTATTTAAATGTTAATGAGTTACATGTTTATCAAATAGGTTTTGAGATTATCATAGGAAATAGTTTCTGGGATGTTTCTTATTTTCAAATTTCCTCTTCTAGATCTGTCTTCCAAATCATTTAATCAGCTTTGTAAATTTTGTGTTTTGATAAGTATATCTTTCACATCATCTTTTTATTGATTCTTGTTCAATATTGAGTTTTTCTATTGTTGATTCATTTGCATTGATTTTTTTCTTTTATTATCTGAATCTCTTGCTGTAGTTTGTTAGAATTCTTTTCAATTTATAGTTTTATCAATTGTAATTGATTATCTAGATATTTTTTGAGGAAATCTTGAATGATATGATTTTCACCTTCAGAATGTGGTAACATTTTTAAATTTTCTTCTACTGAAGAATTGATATCCTCATCACTGCTTTGTTTTGTTGTTCTTTAGATGGATGTGGAGAGAAAAAGTCAGACGTCCTTTTTTCTAGATATTTTTCAGGTTCTTTAGATTTTTTTTTTTTAATAGCGTGCTTTTTAGTTGTCATGATTTGGTCGATATTGAAGGAAAAAAACAAAAACAAAAAACAAATGCATAAATGAGATTTAAATGAATAAAGTAGATATTTATAATTTCTTAGTACTTTCTTAATTCTTTTATCTTTTCTTTGTTCTCTTTGGAGTACTATCTTTGGAGCACACAGGGAATAAATGTAGCTTATTAATATGGGTGTGGTTCAGTTTCCTTATCTTGATACGGGAGCGTTTTGCACAATTCAGATGGCTTTCAATTGCGGCAGCACCATTGTTTAATGCGGCTGTAGCATTGTTGCTTCAACCTTAACTGTCACCACCTTCGGGTCAGTACACCGAACAGCGGTATATTGAATAGGTGGCGGTCATGCAGTGTTGGAAATCTGTCTGTAAAATTGTGGTAAAACTGTGTATATTGCTGCGTGCTCCTTTCGATGCCTACTCCTGAACCCGTTGCCGTGGCACCATCAGGTCCTCCTCTTGGCGTGCATACCCTCTCATATTCACGTCATCTCCCAATTTATATTAATTTAAATTCCAAATGAAACATATATAGACACTGATATTTACGTTAATCCCATATTTGAGAACAAGCCTGATTAAAGATAGTAAAGAATATTTTTACAATAAATATGACGTAATGTGATATTTTGTATTTAAGAAAGCTATTAATCTAAAGTATTAAAGTCACAAAATTAAAATGCACACATAATAGTTACACACAGAGGACACTGACATACACACATTTACACACACAGAACATTGACACACACATTTACCCACAGATGAAACTGACACATACACACACACTTAAACACAGAGGACACTGACACACTAAGTCACTGACAGACACATTTGCACTCATTTGACACACACTTGCTGATACACACACAATCACTGACAGACACACACACACACACACACACACACACACATACCCATACTTACTGACAGACACATTCACTGATTTCATACACATTGACAGATGCACTCACTGACACACAATCAAACTGATTTGACACACACTGACACAATCACACATTCTCTCACACACACTCACAGATTTTTTTTTAAATTATTATTTTTATTTAATTTCACCAAGCCTTCCTCTGATAATTTCCATGGGGTCCAGTAAGGATCTTTTCCATGGGGTCTTGTGTGGCTGCTGTCATCTTAATGGACAGGGTGCACAAGTGAGCAGTGCTGGAAGAGCACAGAGATCACAGCTCCCTCACAGCCTGACTACAGCCCCAATCCAGACACTATATTTGTGCAGAGTAGGCAACTTCCGTCCTGGTAAGAATGTGCCTACTCTGCCTTAGCACACAGCGTGCCACCTCGTGGGGGTCACTGAGGTGGTCAGTCGGGCAACTATTGATGTACTCCCTTTTGGTACCCCACTTTTGATGTGTGTAAACTCTGAGTTAAGCATGTTACAGGTTGGGAATTCAGGAGTTAATTAATTTTTATGCCTTCTATATACATCCATTAAATCAAATATATAAAGCATAAACACATTGCTGGCCTAAGAAAAATGAAAGACACAGGCTAGACTCTTTGATAATGATAGTGTAGATTTATTTCACGTTAATTCACCCAAATTAACAATTGACGTTTTGGCTCAGCTGAGATAATTAGAACTGATGATATCAGTCAGGGAGGTAGAGCATGGGGGGGGGCAATCACATCTGGAGCCACGCAGTGCTGGGAAAAGATAAGTAAATCACATTTTAAACGGTGGGAGGTGAGGAGGGGGCAAGGTGGTTGAGGGACTTAATAGTGTTTTTCACCTATATTGTCCCGAATACACATTACAATACAAGTTTTTATCTCGTGTTCTGTAAATTAGGGATGTGCATGGGCAAAACATTCGGTTTGGTTCGGCATTCTGAAATTCAGGACTTCGGCATTTCGCGACTTCAGCACTTCGGTTGGGTTCAGCATTCTCAAACTCGGGACTTCGGCACTTCGGCACTTCGGTTTGGTTCAGCACTTCCGAAATTCTGGACTTCGGCACTTTGGAACTTCGGGACTCCGGCACTTTGGTTCGGAATTCCGAAATTCGGGATTTCGGCACTTCGCTACTTTGGCACTTTGGTTCGGTTTGGCTCTTCGGCACTTCGGTTCAGTTCGGGACTTCAGAACTTTGGCACTCCGGGACTGTTCTCCTGCAGCCGCTTAGTACATAACGCCCTAATTCCAATGGTATTAGGGAGCTATCTACCAAAAGCCTGAAAGACCTTAATTGGTCTTTCAGTCAAATTTACTAATTTCAGTCAAATTCTGCCCCTATTCGCTATACTGCGAGTAGGGGCATGCCTAGTAAACAGTGTTAAAAAAAAAAAAAAAAAAACCTAAGCGTCCCCCCTTTCCCGAGCCCCCACCATTCCCCCTAGCGATGGATGGGGGCCTTAAATTAGAATAAGGGGGGGACCTGAGCGGTGGGTGGGGGAGCTAAATACTAATAAGGAGGAGACCTATTGTTCTCACCCCGGCCCCCACTCCTGAGCTGCAGGTGGGGGCCCTAAATTACTTCAAAGGGGGGAACTATTGTCCTCCCCCGGCCCCCACCCCTGAGCAGTGGGTGGGGGCCCTAAATTACTTCAAAGGGGGGACCTTTTGTCCTCCCCTTGGCCCCCTCCCCTAAGCGGCAGGTAGGGGCCCTAAATCAGAATAAGGGGGGGACCTATTGTCCTCCCGCCCCCACCCCTGAGCGGTGGGTAGGGGCCCAAAATCAGAATAAGGGGGGGACCTATTGTCCTTCCTCTCATCTCCCACCCCTGAGCGGCGGTTGGGGACCCAAAAGTAAAATAAGGGGGGACCTATTGTCCTTTCCCCTGGCCCCCACTCTTGAGCAGTGGGTGGGGGTCGTAAATAAAAATGTTACCTCCCTCCCCCCAAAAAATTTATAAACCCCTACCAACCCCTCTCACCTTAAAAATAATGAGGGGGAACAATAACTAAGTACCTGTAAAAAAAAGAAATACAACTAACCATTTGATGTCTTCTTTTATCTAAAATCTTTTTTCAGCCACAAAAAAGGCAAATAAAAATATCCGTTGCACTTTAAAAAAAAAAAAAAAAACCCTGAGCGCAAAAAAAATTTGCCGAAAAATAACCTCCTGACGCTGAAAAAGTAATCCATCTTCACCCATGTTATGAGTCAAATTACACAGCGTGGGAATATTCCAAAAATCTTTCCCAAGCTGTGTAAAATGACACAGAGCACTCTGGTTGGATTTCAAGCAAACCAACCAGAGTGCTGTGACAGGTAAATGTAGAGACTTATCTGTCAGTCTCTTCATTTACCTGTCAGAGCACTCTGATTGGATGGCTTAAACCAACCAATCAGAGTGCTCTGAGCCTAACTGCAGGGCGTGGCAAGGCTTTATAAGTCTTGCCCCAACCTGCGGAGCTCAGTCTGTGCGGTGCTCTCCATGGGTGAAGATGGCTTACTTCTTTTTTTACAGGTACTTAGTTATTGTTCCCCCCTCACTATTTTTAGGGTCGGGGGTAGGTAGGGGTTTATTAA